CTGTTGCTGGCGTACGGTTACTTGAAAAAGGGACCGCCTCCGTGGTCTAATGGTAGAGCGTCCGCCCGGAGAGCGGAAGGTCCGGGGTTCGGGGTTCGTTAAAAGATGGTACTTGTTGTTACCCTGTCTGGCGCTCGGCATTAAGGGGCTAAAACAAGGACTGGTCGGCTCGGAGTCAGTATACTGTGTCTGAGTGGGGTATTCATGTTAAACTGCGGCATGGTATCTCAGTGTGCTAGCACTATAAATCGGCATCAGTCCGGACTAGTACAAGCAGACACACACACACACACACACACATACACGTGCATGCACGTCGCAATATAAGTGCAATAATCTTGGACGCGACGTTAAACCCCATTTCACCTCACCTCACTTGAAAAAGACATTCTTAAAAGCATTGTGATTTATCAGCGCCTCTGTAGCCTAGTGGTTTGTCATTTCATTTCACATTTCATTACATTGCGTTCAAATGAAAAATAGATTTCTAGCGAGAAACATCTATATGTTACAATATAAACGGAAGTTGTATTAATAAATTCACTGGAATATTGTATAAAACCCAGGGGATATTACAACATCCCTGTGTATGAGATTTAACCTGACTGGACAACAAAAGGATTACGTCACTGGAGGTTTATAATTCATGATAAAACATTGTTCTTTTCGGGAAATCATTTCTTGAGATTCGAACTTGCGCTCGCAATTTGACGTCGTAGACCGGACTACGAAATTTTTGAAAGGGAAGTGCCTAGTAAAGGGAAGTGCCTTCTTCCCAATAGATGTAGCTGGGCATCGTAGAAAAACGCCATGGCCGAACGATCGCATCCGAAAGTGGGCGATATCTGTATAAGGGGGGATAAAACTATATATGCTCGTCAAAACAATTTAGGGAACACTGATATTTTGTAGCACTGTTCATTCGATTCCTTTTAAATTTTTGTAAATGGCCTCCTGATCGGCGGCTAACGTACTGATATTGAAGACTACCCTTACTCAAGTGACTTCATGACCAGAACAAAGTATTTGAAATCATACTGGACTCGTCAACGTTCATTTTGACCAGCACTCATTTTTATGGAAATTTTTGTTGTAATCTCCTCCTCACAGCTGCCGTAAAAAATGGAGATCGTGCATTTGCTCACTTATTCCTATGAAGCACGAGCCACAAGTAATTTTTGTGCGAAATTTGGGTTGATAAAGGCAGGTCGCTATGAAACTGTATCACTGTGTTCAACATGCCACAACGTCGACACCTCATGATTGAAGAACGAGCCACAGCTATTGTGTGGCTAAATGAGAATGTTTCACAGCGGGAAGCTGCTCGAAGGTTAAATGTTAGTCCATCCGTCATTTGCAGATTACGTCAGCGATTCCAACAAACACAGACAGTACGTGATTGACCAAGGTCAGGACGCGCTCGTGTGACAACAGGAAGACAAGACCGGTACGTCGTTGTTGAAGCATTGAGGAGGAGAACAGTCACAGCAAACACTCTTCGAAGGCAACTGAGGGCTGCTACAGGAACAAATGTCAGTGACCAAACCCTAAGAAACCGTATGAGGGAAAGAAACATCAGGCCCCGACGTCAAGCCATTAGACCGCTTCTTCTTCCTCGTCACAGAGCAGCCAGAGACACATGGGCACGGCAACACCGACAGTGGACAAGACAACAGTGGTCAGCAGTTCTTTTTCCTGACGAATCTCGGTTCTCACTGCAGCATAATGACGGTCGTGTTCTTGTCTACAGACGGCGTGGGGAACGTTTTGCTGACGTCAACGTCCGTGAGCACAATCGTTTTGGAGGTGGTAGTGTCATGGTGTGGGCCACCTTCTCATTTCTTCACAGAACCAATCTGTACGTCATTAACGGGAATTTGAATGCTGTTCGCTACAGGGATGATATTCTGAGACCAATTGTGATTCCTTGTCTTCATCGAATAGGCCCACAGGCGGTTTTCCAGGATGCTAGACCTCATCGTGCACGCATAGTCACTGACTTTCTGGGACAAAACAATGTTACTCGCATGGATTGGCCAGCATATTCTCCTGATATGGCACCCATTGAACATGTATGGGATCTGTTAACGAGACGTGTTAGGGAGAACCACCCTCCACCTCAAGATCTGCGCCAGCTTGCTCAATGGCTGAGTTTGGAGTGGCATGCTATCCCACAGAACACACTACAGACATTAGTGACATCCATGAGGCGTCGTTGTGTTGCATGTGTGGCTGCTAGGGGCGGACACACTCGTTACTGACTTTTCTCTCATGGCCTGGATTTCCAATTTTGACCCCAGTGACATTATTGACATCAACACTTGTTCACGTTATGAAATGTAGTGGATTGTTCATTATTCTTTTTTACTGTATACTCGGTCATTATTGAATTTTCTACACGTCTTCGTCTTCTGTTCCTTTTTGATTTTAAGTGCAAACATATCAGTGTTCCCTAACTCCTTTTGAGAAGTATATAAAGTTGTTTGACCAGGGTTACAACACTCAAGGCTTCAGTTAATCTTATAAAAAAGACATGTTGACCAATAAAAGAGGCAAACCCTTTCCATGTTGTTACGAAATCTCTGCTGGAGTCGACTGTACGAGTCCGAATATATCATGAGCATGACTTTAATGTTTCACTATTATTACCGTAAAGGTGTGAATATCATGCTTCACTGGTGGTACCCGTCATAATTACACGCAAAGGCAAGTAAATTGTTCACTTGTAAAATAAATTATCTGGAGTCAGTGCCATAGGAAATAACTGATGATCCAGGCTATATTAGAGTTCACGAGAGCTAGTTCAGAAGAAGGTTGCACTGTGGATGACACAGTTGATAAATATTCCAGTGAGTGAAGTTATATATGATATCCGTGACAGTCATCTACCCTGTCGATTAAATAAGGAAAGATATTTTAATGTCAATATTGTTGATGGAAGATTGTCGGATGACTCGGGTGAATTTACTTCTTTCGGATCAGACGGTTTTACAACCCTTGATTATATGTGCGCTGTATCTGCCTTGTTTAAATAGTAAATTTTTTTTAAATAATTGATTTTTTTTAACATATTTAAATAATTAATAATGATTATAAAGAGTTTTGGAAATTAAATTGAAGAAAATGAAGTGAAAAAAACAGTTAAAACAATATTACTACTATTAAGTGGCAAGGGTGCTTGAAACAATTTCCAAATCCTACAGGAGATTACGAAGGCGACAGTCAATTTCCAATCCATATTCGCGAGATTTTGCATGATTCATGTATTTCGCGTTCAAGCCCTACGGCCAAATTGTTAAGACTTTCAAATATCCTGTAAATGATGGATTACCGCCAGAACATATACACAATATAAATGTTACAACACAATATTGAACGACATTTTTCAAAGAAAATCTACTATAAAGGTTACTACCCAAAATCCATTATTGTTCCTATATCAACGAACGATAATACATAACATCGCAATAATTACAATGAGTAACATCTTTTGATCAATCCTGAATAAATACATTTGTGTAAACGTAACAGATTATTGTCGAATATAAAGGGTATTTTATAAAACTCATACACAAGATGAAGAGAAATAGAGATTTTATGGTAACTTTATTGGTTTTATAAAAGCGTTCCATATGGTTGACAGAATTTTGTTTTATTATCTTCTAAATAATAATGTACATGGCAAATTCTTCACAATAACGGAAGTATATATATAAGCACTTAATACTAGCGGTTGCACTTCAAAATGGATATTAGTTGTCTGAATAATTTTTTAGCCAAGCTGGTTTTATGCGTTGGGGGAAACAACAAACCAACCAACAACCGTACATAATCGAGTCGGGATCAAGCCAAACCAATGGCCCAAAATAGTATCTTACAATTAAACTTCTTTCCATACAGCACGTCCTCCCTTATGTGTCGATGTATAGTTGTCAATCGATACATGACCTGCACGATGCTTCGGTGTATGGTACAAGCCCAGATTGATGAATGTAATCAAAACAAGAGTTTGCCACTAACGTGGCTATATCCCCCGCCCCTGTTGCAGAATTTATGACATAAATAAATCTTAACAAACCCTAACCTTTTTTAACCGAGGTGGAACTTGTCATGGAAATTGTATTAAAAAAAGAAGAGTTTGGAACCTAAGTCCATCCTTGTTGCTATGGAAACGTAAAAAATAAAGATTTCTAAAATTTCTAAAGAGCAAAAGGCACCAGTTCAGCATGTACTTGACAAACCTGCAAAGTTTCATGTAAATAAATTGAAAGGTTTATGAGTTATGCTCCGGAAACAAACCCTACCCTCACAGAACCTAAGTCCATCTTGTTGCCATGGAAACGTAAAAAATAAAAATTTCTAAAATTTCTAAATAGCAAAAGGCACCAGTTCAGAATGTACCTGACAGTCCTGCAAAGTTTAATGAAAAAAACATTGAACGGTTTATGAGTTATGCTCCGGAAACGAACCCTACCCTCACAGAACCTAAGTCCATCTTGTTGCCATGGAAACGTAAAAAATACAAATTTCTAAAATTTCTAAATAGCAAAAGGCACAAGTTCAGCATGTACTTGACAGACCTGCAAAGTTTGATGAAAAAATATTGAACGGTGTATGAGTTATGCTCCGGAAACGAACCCTACCCTCACAGAACCTAAGTCCATCTTGTTGCCATGGAAACGTAAAAAATATAAATTTCTAAAATTTCTAAATAGCGAAAGGCACCAGTTCAGCATGTACTTGACAGATCTGCAAAGTTTCATGAAAAAATATTGAACGGTTTCTGAGTTATGCTCCGGAAACAAAACGTGACGGATGGACGGACGGACGGAGCCCGTTTCTATATCCCCCGCCAACTTTGTTGTTATTTAAACATGTATACACTGACAAACAAAATTAACTGAGATCGTATTAATTACTTAAAATGATTACCTATTGTTACATGATATTTATGACTTTCGTGGTTGATCACTGTTCGCGTGTACACAACAAAGGAACTATCAACACACACCAGGGTCACTTTGAAACAGTAGGGTATTAGGGAGACAAGAAAATCAAAATGCTAGTATATATATACTGATGGAAATGAATAAAGTAACAATGAACAATGGTCAATAATAATAAGCTTTACTGTTAGTAGATTTCGATAAGGGCGCATACAAGTTCAACAACTGTCAGAATCAAATGTTGCGATGTGTTTGTGTGCAATGTTTCCCACGTGTATTTGGCAGACAAGGCTGGAACCCACGATACCATATCATTGTACTGTGTCTAAAACTATGTGTTCCCTTATTCATTTCCAACAGTATATTTCTGGTGTGACGTGAAAATAACCTCACATTTATACATAATCTGTGTATATTTCCCGTAGTTATTGCTGGGTAGAATGAAAAGAAAACCACTTCCTTAAGCACATGTAGTCAGTTTCATCGGAATTAAATTACAGTACACTTCAATGTCTTTAATGCATTAAGCAAGAAGACGAATTAAGTGACCACAATTACTTTGTTTTTGGGAACATATAAATCAGACTAATCCCATGTAATCCTGTGAACACAGGTACAGTACATGATCCTAGTTTCCGTTTTGTTTTGTTGTACTGCATATAAAGAAAACATTTTGCAACATCACAACCAGCAGCCGTAATACTTCTGGAACAATATGGCTGCCCTCAGGCAAATCACCATCTGCCTAATACAAACTTGCTTACACGTTTCAATGGCAACGGAAAGAATATTGATGTTTTCAATCTGAACATGGTTTTTTGCTTTAGATTACCGCCTGGTGGATTGTTGTGAATGTGTCATTGTCATCTATTGATATCTGTCTCAGCACCGTGATGCTTTCTACTGCCCTGCAAGCTGTACCACGCACAATCTGGATCATATGTATGCGATGTTCGTGAATTTGTGAACGTATTTTGTGATTTGCTCCGACACGATACACGATAGACCCAACTGCATCCATCAAAATTATATTAAACACAAGTGAAGATGTATGTGTTTCATCACAGAGAGATGACGGAACAGTGAAGGTTTATACATTTTTGTCCCGAAAAACAAATGGACGGTAGCATGGCAGTCGGGAGATAATAATATATAAATCATATCGGTGGGTTTTTTTTAAACAGATAAACATCTGTGAATAAGTAACGAAGTTGGGCCAACTCTTTTCGTTAAATTATTTCAGTTTCCCTGTTTCGAAATATCTACAACAAAAATAACACAAGTTCAAATTCTTGATCAGTTGTGTATATCAGTGCCATTAGGGTATCTACTTGAGCAAGGCCAGCATGAAGGACAGCACTGAGAACAGCACGAGGAGAAGTGAAGGCGGAGAGGTACAGGCGTCACAGGCAGCAGGTTTCCCGAGCTTCTCCACTTCTGCCAGGACATCTCCAGTTCTCTTCGGACACGAACCATAGGCTGTCTTAATGCAGCTCACAGACAGCTGCGATGAACTGAAAATGCCAAGATTAAATGGGACAGGCTCAGTGAGGATGAATTTTCGAAATATCTGAAGATCAGGATGGCCAAATTCTCACGTCCTCATTTTTCTTACATTTCGAAATTACTGTCATACATTAATCAAGCGGTGCTTTATGAATTTGTGTTATACTTTTTGGCTACTAAATCCAGAGATAAACAGAGATGCAGTCACACGTGTATTCAACTGACACACAGAACAGAGTGATATTCGTGTGCCTTTTTATGCATTCTTTCAATATTCTATAGCACTTTCTGAAATACGTTTTGGGTATACCTGCAGGTGGTTGCGAGGTATCCATCAGGCGTTGACAAGTCAGAACCTCCTGTGGAGCCATTCAGCACACAGTTCAGCAGGGTGGTTGACCTTCCAGTTTCTGCCAGGCATGCATGGTCCACATCTGAATAAATACACATTCACAGGTTCAGATCAAGACTGACGGTCTGACTGACTGAAGCGTACATAAAAGGTCTTACAGGGGACATAACGCAACGTAACTTCAATGTCACAAGTCGTATATGTACAAGTAAATAGCAACAGCTGTGATTTTGCTAAGACTGTGATATTTTTACAAGTGCTTGTTTACATTTTGTAAATACTTATTTCGTAACAATAAATATTAGAACCTAACCCTAACTTACCCCAACCCTTGCCCTAACCCTAACCCTAACCCTAACCCTCACCCTAACTTACCCAAACCCTAACCCTAACCCTAACCCTAACCCTAACCCACTAACATGATGCTGCAACGTAAAGGCCAGTCTTTAAAGCATAGTTACCGTTTATGTTGTTACACATGTAGTCGAGTGCCTTTTTTGTCTGGTCAAGGGATGTGAATGCTCTTTGCCAGGCAGATGGAATGCAAGCGAATAACTTGGCATATAAACATCCATAGAAGTCGAAAACAAGTGTCTTGGTTCTGGAAAAGTGTACACATGTATTACTCAACAATGCCGCGGATTGAAAATGAAAATACAACATCCAACTGCCATTCAACTAAACACCTGACAACACACTTAATCACCATGGACACGACCGTCACTGGCTACTGTACACAGTGAGACCAGCTACAGTAAACAGTGAGACTGACAACTATGCAGAGTGAGACTGGCTACTGTACAGAGTAAGACCGGCTACTGTACAGAGTGAGTCTGGCTACTGTACAGAGTGAGACCGGCTACTGTACAGGGTGAAACCGGATACTGTACAGAGTGAGACCGGCTGCTGTACAGAGTGAGACTGGCTTCTGTACAGAGTGAGACCAGCTTCTGCACAGAGTGAGACTGGCTACTGTACAGAGAAAGACCGGCTTCTGTACAGAATGAGATCAGCTACTGTACAGAGTAAGACCGGCTTCTGTACAGAGTAACACTGGCTTCTGTAGAGAGTGAGACTGCCTTCTGCATAGAGTGAGACCGGCTTCTGTACAGAGTAAGACTGGCTTCTGTACAGAGTAAGACTGCCTACTGTGCAGAATGAGCCCGGCTACTGTACAGAGTGAGGCCGGCTACTGTACAGAGTAAGACCGGCTTCTGTACAGAGTGAGACCAGCTTCTCCACAGAGTGAGACTGGCTTCTGTACAGAGTAAGACCGGCTTCTGTACAGAGTGAGATCGGTTACTGTACAGAGTAAGACCGGCTTCTGTACAGAGTAATACTTGCTTCTGTACAGAGTGAGACTGCCTTCTGCATAGAGTGAGACCGGCTACTGTACAGAGTAAGACCGGCTACTGTACAGAGTTAGACCGGCTACTGTACAGAGTAAGACTGGCTACTGTACAGAATGAGACCGGCTACTGTACAGTGTGAGATCGGCTACTGTACAGAGTAAGACTGGCTACTGTACAGAATGAGACCGGCTACTGTACAGAGTGAGATCGGCTACTGTACAGAGTAAGACTGGCTTCTGTACAGAGTGAAACCGGCTACTGTACAGAGTGAAACTGGCTACTGTACAGAGTAAAACTGGCTTCTGTACAGAGTAAGACTGACAACTGTACAGAATGAGACTGGCTACTGTACAAAGTGAGACCGGCTACTGTACAGAGTGAGACTGCTACTGTACAAAGTGAGATCGGCTACTGTACAGAATGAGAACGGCTTCTGTACAGAGTAAGACTGGCTTCTGTACAGAGTAAGACTGGCTTCTGTACAGAGAGAGAACGGCTACTTTACAGAGTGAGGCTTGCTTCTGTACACAGTGATACATGTACTGTACATTGTGAGACCGGTTACTATGAAGAGTAAGAACAGCTACTGTACAGAGTAAGACTGGCTATTGTACACAGTGAGATTGGCTAGTGTACAGAGTAAGATTGGCTGCTGTACAGAGTAAGACCGGCTACTGTACAGAGTAAGACTGGCTATTGTACAGGGTGAGATTGGCTATTGTACAGAGTAAGACCGGCTTCTGTAGAGAGTGAGACTGGCTACTGTACAGAGTAAGACCGGGTTCTGTACAGTGTAAGACTGGCTTCTGTATATTGTGAGACCGGTTACTATGCAGAGTAAGAACAGCTACTGGACAGAGTAAGACTGGCTATTGTACACAGTGAGATTGGCTATTGTACAGTGTAAGACTGGCTACTGTACAGAGTAAGACCGGCTTCTGTACAGAGTGAGACCGGCTACTGTACAGAGTAAGACCGGCTACTGTACAGAGTTAGACCGGCTACCGTACAGAGTAAGACTGGCTACTGTACAGAATGAGACCAGCTACTGTACAGTGTGAGATCGGCTACTGTACAGAGTAAGACTGGCTACTGTACAGAATGAGACCGGCTACTGTACAGAGTGAGATCGGCTACTGTACAGAGTAAGACTGGCTTCTGTACAGAGTGAAACCGGCTACTGTACAGAGTGAAACTGGCTACTGTACAGAGTAAAACTGGCTTCTGTACAGAGTAAGACTGACAACTGTACAGAATGAGACTGGCTACTGTACAAAGTGAGACCGGCTACTGTACAGAGTGAGACTGCTACTGTACAAAGTGAGATCGGCTACTGTACAGAATGAGAACGGCTTCTGTACAGAGTAAGACTGGCTTCTGTACAGAGTAAGACTGGCTTCTGTACAGAGAGAGAACGGCTACTTTACAGAGTGAGGCTTGCTTCTGTACACAGTGATACATGTACTGTACATTGTGAGACCGGTTACTATGAAGAGTAAGAACAGCTACTGTACAGAGTAAGACTGGCTATTGTACACAGTGAGATTGGCTAGTGTACAGAGTAAGATTGGCTGCTGTACAGAGTAAGACCGGCTACTGTACAGAGTAAGACTGGCTATTGTACAGGTTGAGATTGGCTATTGTACAGAGTAAGACCGGCTTCTGTAGAGAGTGAGACTGGCTACTGTACAGAGTAAGACCGGGTTCTGTACAGTGTAAGACTGGCTTCTGTATATTGTGAGACCGGTTACTATGCAGAGTAAGAACAGCTACTGGACAGAGTAAGACTGGCTATTGTACACAGTGAGATTGGCTATTGTACAGTGTAAGACTGGCTACTGTACAGAGTAAGACCGGCTTCTGTACAGAGTAAGACTGGCTACTGTACAGAGTAAGGCCAGCTTCTCTACAGAGTAAGACTGGTTTCTGTGCAGAGTAAGACTGGATACAGTGCAGAGTAAGACTGGCTACTGTACAGAGTAAGACATACCACACAGTGATACCAGCTACTGTACACAGTGATACCAGCTATTATACACATTGATACCAGCTACTGTACACAGTGATACCAGCTACTGTACACAGTGATACCAGCTACTGTACACAGTGATACCAGCTATTGTACACAGTGATACCAGCTACTGTACACAGTGATACCAGCTATTGTACACAGTGATACCAGCTACTGTACACAGTGATACCAGCTACTGTACACTGTGATACCAGCTATTGTACACAGTGATACCAGCTACTGTACACAGTGATACCAGCTACTGTACACAGTGATACCAGCTACTGTACACAGTGATACCAGGTACTGTACACAGTGATACCAGCTACTGTACACAGTGATACCAGCTACTGTACACAGTGATACCAGCTATTGTACACAGTGATACCAGCTACTGTACACAGTGAGACAGGCTTTCATACCCAGTGAGACCTGCTACTGATCACAAAGAGACCAGCCACTATACACAGTGAAACCGGCTATTGTACACAGTGATTCTCTACACATTGAGAACGGCTTCTGTTACATAAATAAAAATAAATGAAAAACACACGTACGATGCCTGACACAAGATCGATGTCGAACTTGACAGAAGAGATCCAAAATTAAAAACTTTAGTGAAATCTGTGAATAATCCTTTGATGGATGTTTCTTTCAGGAACTGCGTTGAACACCCGAGGATGTCCTGTGTAAGGTTTGGACATTCTGAGAGGGCGCCCTGGCTTCTGATGGTTGGTAGCACTAACACTGAAACAACGGCAGGATGAGAATGAGAATCGTTATGACGCACCTGCAGCTGCTTCCTGATAATCATTCTTAGTTTGTCAGTAACGGTGCCCGTGGGGTGCTTGCACTATAGACCCTAGTTGTCTGTTTTGATATTAAACCAGACGATATGGAGTATACATGGGGAATGTTGATGGGGTCATTTCGCACTCCATGTAATCAAATAACAAATAACGTCATTTAGAAACTGTTTGACCCCTCTCTTGCAAATAAACGCTAAAATCAGCTGTCCATCTTTTCTGCTGTTATTTGAGTCTTTGAGAGGCATCTATCTTCATTGTCTGTAACGACGTTTGGTGGCTACTTCCTGACCATTAAGCATGTTGATTTAATTTATTTGATTGTATTAAAAAAACAAGCGTAGAGGGTATTACAAGGATCCTTTTTTAAAGGAGAGGGACCGGATCGAACATCGCTGCACGCTGATTGGTGCGACACGCAGCGCGCTGATTGGCGCCCGGCCTGAGCCTCGGCTTTCCAAATCGACCCGACCCTTGTGTTTCTTTTCCATAGGAAATGGATTTTATCATGGGAGAGAAAGCACAACCCCCGGTTCGACCAATCAGAGACCCGAACAGGGCGAGCGCGCCCTCTGATTTGTCGACAACCCAAGCGTCTGATGGGCCAGATTTCGATCCTGTTCTTTTGGGTAGACATGTCCACCGCCACCACGATCATGTTGTGGAACGGTGATCTGAATTCTAAAGGTGGACCAACATGGACGGACATGGACGTGATGTAGGAATGCCTACGTGTTGTATTTTTGTGTTTCCACAGTTGTTGGCACTCGTGAATGCCTGCGTGTCTCGATGCAAACGTGGTGCCACACGTGACTACAAACAGACGTTTATAGAGGTATAGATCGATAGACATACGTAACGTTGTCACTCGCTCATCCACGCCTAGGTGTTGACACTCGTGTATGCCTACATGCGTGCTGCCATTCGTGTCTCCATGCAAACGTGGTGTCACGCATGTCTTCAAACAGACGTTTATTTATATATGTGTATATATATATATTCATATTTATATGGATAGAGAGAGATCGATAGACATACGTGGTATTTTACTCGTAGGCGTGTGTTTTACTCGTAGGCCTATACCTCCAGGGAGGAAATGGATTCTTTTGGATTGTTGTTTGTGTTGGCAAGCAATGATCAGGACGTTTGTTTCGGGAGAGATGGGTGGCCCTGAAAAGATGAAAAAACATGGCCATGTCATAAGGGGTCTGGGTCATCTGCTTAGGCCACGTTTGAAAAGACCTCAGACGTTCTTGAAATGAATCAAAGCCAGGATGAGAAGGATGACTCCAGGTGTAAGAAGGGGAAAGCAGAACACGCTGTCGGTGCTTTGCGTGTACACGAAGCCCGCATGGGCCATGTCTTCAGCGGTCTGGGCCTTCTGCATTGGCCACGACTCAAGTCAAAGAACAGGTGAGTGCATTGTTCTTGGGTGGCGTCTTCATAGGCTTCATGAGATACAGCACGGATGTGTTTCGGTGATGTCTTTTCTTGGTGAACCATCGCAGCACTTCCGTTTCTTCTTCTTTCGTATTGTTGCCCAGCAAATCATGGATGACAAGCCAATGCAGGGCCGCTCCTTTTTCAGGCAAGGCACGATCCGCTTCATTCATGCTGTGCACAAACTCAAGAGTGACCCTTAAGCGGTCTGCCATCTCATCCAACTCATGATGGAGCAGTTCGCTGTACACCCACACGATGCGATGGGGTTGCGTATCCAATACCTCGGGACGATGCATCTTAAGGTGTTAAGATACATATAGTTGAATCAGGGACGATGTCACCATTGGAGGAGTGGGTCAAATGGTTGACTTGTGCACCATCAGAGTGGATAGAATAATTGACTCGTGCTGACGAGTTCAAGCCAAAGCCAGAACACCACAAAACGCCATGCTACAACTGTAGCAACTTTGGTCGTTGGCCGCTACCAAAGTAGCTAGGATGACGCTTTCGGTTCCTGATTCCGTTTCCCGTTTTCCGGTTCCCGTTTTCCGGTTCCCGTTTTTTCATCATCTTCATCCAAACGGCCCTTTTCAGGGCCACCCATCTCTCCCGAAAGATCGCTTCCATCCTTGCTTTGACTACCCTCCACATCCATCACACCAAAACAAAGAACCCTCCTCCTCCTCCCTCCTCCCTCCCTCCCGCCGCCGCCATCTTGGATGTGGAGATGCCCCCCACGCCTCCCGGAACCGGAAGTGCCGCCACCTTGGAGGCGCACGCATTACCCACAATGCCGTCTTCGCGCATGCGCAGAACCATTTCCGGATACCAGGGTTCTGTCAATAACTACACGATTGTTGTTGTAACACGATCCTAAACAATGCATATGGAATCCCGTTAACGCACATGTTTTTATACCCATTCTTGGGTAGTTAAATGCAAGGGGCTTGCATAAATGTCAACTTTTGCAAGGAATGCATGCTTTTCTGTAGCAGTTGCGTTTTGGGTTCTTGATTCCACACATGTACTACAATAGTGAAAACCAAACTTTACTTGTTTGAAAAATACACTAAAATATTGGTGTCACAGGGACTTTTGTTGTTGAGAATATATATGTGCGAATGTAACCAACTGAACAATTGCCGTCAATTATCCAATCAGACTGAACCAAAAATCACACTGCTTATTGACGATTACTGAAAATAATTTTGCTGATCTTCGATTGTGTCATGATGTAGAAATGCAGTCCAAAATGACGTCTGACTTCCAGCCAGCTGCGATGCTGTGTTTCTTTTCTACGAAATACGGCTACGGAATCGATCGATGACGACAACGGGGGATTGCCTTAAGTGTCCCGTCTGATAGTGTACCGGATCGGGGTATGTAGTCTATGGCCCCCTTTCTCTAGCGTATACAAAAGTCTGCCTGGGGCACGACAGACCTCTTCTGCCTAACCACCTGTCTGTTCACAGTGCGATATATCGCGTGACTTACACCTGGAAACAGCTCTTCACCAACATTATATCATATGGAAACACTGCTGTGTACCAGATACGTGGAAGTTAGATAAAAACAAAAACTAAATACCTTGTTCACTTTGCAGGATTATGGGGCCGTCAAAAGAGGTTATCACGCGAGTTTGCAATGGTTTGTTTGTTGTTCAAAGCACGAATGGGTTGCTGAATTCTAACCCGGATCTTCACGGGTCGTTTGCAAGTGTAAATACCCTGTATTAGAAATAAACAATGCAACTGCGAGTCTTACCGATACTCTGTACCTAATTATTCATATGTCAGATGTATGAAGCTTTGGTTAGCGATAATTAATATGCCAAATGTGCGCTTCGGGAGAAAGGTTCTGCTGTATGTTCGTCAGTTGACGTTATGCTACGGACAATTGAAATAGAAATATAAAATGTTACCTGCAACGAAGACGATGAGAGTCCAGGGCTGCATGATGTAACCAGGTCGTATACTGATCTCACAAACAAGACGGGCGCTTTTCACAACCTCCCGTCACTGCTCTCTGGGCAATATGACGAAATAATGCTTGTACACTGACGTGGTTCTCAGAAACAGCAGTGATCGACAATGCCTTATATGGATATTTAACTAGGTGGTGTGCGGAAGCAGGTGCCCTGGGAATTCCCGGAATACGAACTCAAAAAAATGTATAATAACTTTTTCTACCCCTTTTTGCCCTGAACTCTCATACTTAAGCACAAAATAATACGCTTGCGTCTGTGTTTCAACGTTTAAGTTGTTCAGATCAACACTGTACTTGATTACAATACACATGGTGGTGGACCAAGCATTCGTAGCTGTCTAAGATGCCGAATTTAAGACTAACCTTGTGTTTTAATGGAGATGTGTTTATGATCAACTCTGCAGGAAGCGGGCCGTAAATTAAATATCCTCGGATAGGGCTAACTGGCGGGCTGTTCCTGATCGATAAACACAGTTGGGACATTTCATTATCGTATGGTGTGTGATTGTCCAAAATCCCATGCAAGCAACAATAGGCTTGGCCACAAATTTGTAGCAAACTTTTCTGGCATCGCCTCCTCTCTATACAACCTTCTGAAAAAAGAGGCGTCTTTCGAACTATTGCCAACAGCCAATCAAAAAGCTAGCAAGCTATAGATTAGTGTTATATCTACCTATATACCACTTTATAATGTCACGGTACATCGTATTTAAGGAAAACAAGGTGCTAAAAGTGAAGCATTTTTACTGTATTTTCTTTAGAAATTCTATGTCAGAAGTGTTCGCGTATTTTTGTGCTTAAGTCACTTGGACATTGTTTAGCTTCATAAACTATTCATAATAAACATGTCCGACAGCTTTGACATCATTGATGACTTAGTCTTATGAGATGTGTAAACCTAAGGGGAAATGAGCTCAAGTAAATACAGAAACAGAGGGTCTAAAATTGCCACAGTGTTAGGCCCGAAAGTTTATTTAGGATTTAAATTGTGATTAAGGAAGTAGAGGGTAGAGGGAGAACAAGATAACAAATCTTAACAAAACCTACGTGCCAAACAAGTGCTAGTTCGTTCGTATCCGTAATCCGTCACAAACTGTGATGAACGCTTAGTGTGTTCGATGAAGGAAATACAGCCCTTCAGATCTTTGTTTACTGAATACACCTTGACCTATGTTCAGTGATATAATTTATAAGATATTGAAGCTACATGGCCGCCCATAGTTTCTTGGAAATGTCCTGGCTACACTTCAAGGTTTCGTACTCAACAAATATATATGAATGTATATGATGTCTCCTCTTGATGTACTTTAATAATGCAATTCGACAAAGAAGATGTACAGATGCCTCGACAGCATTTTTGGCAGTCAACTACAAGTACACGTAAACATAGCTATTAATGCTCATGTGTGTCAGGTTTCCCTTACCTCGCCGTCACATCTGTACACAAAAGCAAGTGCATAGTCCAAACTAGGCAACATTTGCATTTCTTTAGCCGTTTACAGATGCCTCGACAACATACTTCAACCTTGGCTCTCAACTAGTACAGGTAAACATGGCTATTAATGCTCATGTGTGTCAGGTTGCCCCAACCTCGCCGTCGTATCTGTACACAAAATAAGTGCAAGGTCGTAACTAGGCTACATATGCATTTCTTTAGCCGTTTCAATAATGCAGTGCGCTGTCACAGCATGCTGCGTAGGTCTGTACAGCACAATGTATTTTATTAGTAATTGGTCGATCCTTCATAAATCATATTTTTGCCATTCATTTCACATATGCCTCGGTAGAATTGAGATAGGGGAAGGACTTCTGGTCAGATAACAAGGTATTCAGATATCCAAAAACTCGTTTATCAGGAAACATTTTAGAAAAAGCAATTGTCCGGATAAACGAGGTTCGACTGTATAGCGCGTGATACATGACAAAACAGATGTGTTAGGACCTGATTCGCACTTGCTGAAGGGATACCAATGGACCCTGATCATAATACATTGGTTGCTTATTATTAGTAGTAGTATTAATCATATTGTATTGTCCAAAAAGACAAAGGGATTGGGCACAAGGGCAGCACTTATTACCACCTTCTCCCTATATACAGTTATACATAATATTGCATAATGAAAATTAACAATTTACAGTTGAAGCATCACATTGTGGAAACATAGTGCGCAATATAAATTTATATACAGTGCTGATATGAAGGATATGTACAGTGCTGGAAAGTGAAGACAGTGTGCATCTCATACATATGCTAATATTATACATGTTAGTGTTGTATATAGATTTAACAATATTAATGATTAACAGTTTGGAAACAATAATATGCTAGCTTCTGAATCTGTTAGTCGTTTGAATAAAATTGTGTACAGACAAGAATATTTTTGTATTCAGGAAAACATCTAAGTTTGGATCACAAAAAAGAATACTATTTAGAGTTTTTTGTCCACCAAGATTATCGATAGCTGTCAGTAATGTCTCCCTAATATCATCATATAAGGTACATTGGAAGAAGAAATGGAATGAATTTTCACAAGGAGCTCCGCATTTACAGGAAATAGTATCAGATAATTAACACGAAACAGGTTGGAATTTAGTGTGCTACAATTGTGTCTCAATCTAGTGTGCAATATGTTTGTAGATCTCTCACCGCAATTATAGTGCATAGGTGGTGATGTAGGCTGCTCAGATGCGACAGCTTTAAAATAAGATATTGACGGACTATCCCTGATTCCTGATGATAGATTATTCCATTGGCCTAATGTATCTATAATATAACACCTTTTAAACGTAGATGTCCGTGCAAATGGAACTACAAAATCATGGCGGTTTCTGAGATTATAACTGACCTTCTGTGACACAGCTGGTGGTATAAGATCAGTTACATATGAAGGACATGGCTTATTTATTATTTTATACATAGTTACAAGTTTGTTGACGTTTCTTCTATACGCTTAGATATATTTATCCACGTCACACACACCTAGAACAAGTACACTGATTTGAATATTACTAATATTACATGAATGTTACTGAGCAGTCAGTTAGAGTTTATATCTTTGCGCTTAATCAGCAACATTAAGCCTTTCACCTATATTACAACTTTGTAAGTTAACTTTCCTTTCCAGGAATACCATAGCATGGTGACAGAGATGAACCTCTACCCCAAGAGATGTGTCATTAACTAAAATCTGCTTTGTTAATTTGATTTCAAGTGATAGCCTTCACCTGGAAGGAATTTATATTTGTATTATTTCAATTTTTCTTTTCATATATATCCCTCTGAATTTTGGGTTTTGAAATAGCATGTCGCAGAAATAATTCCTTAGACTTGCAAGAATACTCTAATCATTGGCCGAAACATGCCCCATTTGTGCTTCTTGCTTTGTCAGACCAAACCCATACTGTTGAATTTCTCAAAAGCTTTAAAAGGGTTAAAGCTATTTTTGGAAGTATAAATGGGTTGATTGGTGAATACCACAGAAGTAGCAAATGGAGTTATGTCCGATGAAATTCTCTGTTTTGACTTGTGCTAATCGTTTTCGTGTTTTTCTGGTTTAACAACTAACTTGCCTTTGCGTGTGTTTGTTCCACCGGTGGTGCAGGGTACGCTCACCTCTATGCAAACACCTGTTATCCTCACTGTTTGATAATAGTTTATACACGCAAGTATGTATAAGTTGCATGTCATCTTAATATATCACTTGTGTTATCCCTCTTTTTGGGGTGTACTACAAACATAAATCAAAGTTTCTTTTGAGCTATCATGAACATCATAAAATACTTAGCAAGTCTATGCTTATCATTCCCTCTACTCCTACCAAAGGCTCTAATTGTGGCTAATCGTAACATATTCTTCACGAATACTGTAAATCATGAAACGTGTAACCAAATTAATGCGAGTTTAGACCGCTGGCTAGACTAACATCTAGTTTCTGAAATGAACATATTTTACAAAAATAAAAAATAATTGTTTGATTATATTGATAAAATATAGAACTGCAGTAATCTAGTCTTGCCAAATATGATTGACTTGCATCGGCTGTATTGGATATATTTGTTTCAGGAACTGTATGACAGGCCTAAAATGCGTCACGGAAGCAATGCGATTAACTTTGCTTTTGACCTGTAAAAGCTAACCAGCAAACGAAAACACAGCGTTGTTTACAATGAACGCATGTCTAAACAAAAATCCTTTTTTATATACTTAAGTAGAAGTATCACGATGGACAATGCATACAACTCTTTGGCAAACAATATCAAGCAATATTTTAGATTCAGAATCAACATTCCATGACATAACAGAAACATATATATTAAATTGTATATATTCATATTTGCCGCTATTAACAATAAATTTATTTTACCGTTACTGTTTTAAACTACTCTGAACTACTTGTATGTATAGATCATCTTATTTGTAAACAGTAGGCGGACGTATTATATATCTAAGAGTTACAAAAGTCTGCTGAAATCTTCTATTTCTTTATTTTGTAAAATGCTGTCAACATGAATAAATGCCAATTATTTCATAACACTCCAAATATAGTTGTCATAATGAACATAGTTTTAAAGTATATTTGTCACATGCAATAATACTGTCCGGTATTATTAGTAATATTTTCCATATCAACCACATATTGTTAGAATCCAGTAAAAAGGAACTGAGTAAAGCAGTGGTAAAATCTATCCATATATACAAAATTGTATATTTTTGGATATACCATATATACAAATTGTATATTTTGTATATATTGGAATTTTCCCTTGTGATACTTTCACTGGCCACTGACAAAGATTAGCAGTATTAGAATAAGAAACTAAATTAAATCCAGTATGACGTGATGATGTGTAAGCATACAGAAAACTAAGAGAGCCCAACTTACATCAGTTTCTGTACCGTACTTGCGCTTACCTCCTTTTGAATCCTGCGTATCATTCAACCTGTCGGATCGACTTGTCCCGGGTGGTTAATAATCTTAAACATCACGACTGTAAAACAAAGTTGCTTATTTACTTACTTACTTACTTTGGAGATTTAACGTGCGCTTTCCGACTGATGCGTATTTCGCACACGGGCCCGGCCAGGCCATTTAATGT